GTATGCAATAAACGTTTGATTGAATAGAATTTTATTCGAGAGCATTTGAAATTGTAGAAGATTGATTATAGAAACGTTTGTAACAACATATTAAAAATTATCGGTTTCATTTAACTTCACATTAACAATTAGTACATATATTATACACATATATAATTTCACGTATATTAATTCATATAATACATGTTAAAAATGATCGATTTCATATAATTTGCTGAAACTGAGTAGGCACTTGAGAGTTCCATTCTCCTGAGAGCGCTTAGCGAAAATTCCGTACTCCTGATATTAAGATTGAAAGTTTTATTTTCTTAACATAATTCTGAATAATATAATTCTTAAACGGACATGCTTAAATTCTATTTCGTCCCATACTATTAAACATTACCTGATTGTGAATCATAATCGTACGATATAGAAATATCGGAAGAAAACTAACTTAGAAGTAAATATAAGCAGTTTAACTGCGATTATATTCGTATGAATTTATGACTCTCTATTCCACAATTAATATAGTAAGATATTAAAAGTCATGAAATTTACATCGAATAACGCTGCTTTTATTTTATAGCGCAAGTGAATTTATAATTCTGATGTAATTAATAAATTTTGCGAGCTATTTGAACAATTGCAATAAACAATACATCTTTTCTTTTTCTTTAAGAATCACTGAAAGAACATTATTTATATAAGGGACGGCCTGACGCGAAGTAACATGTTGCAAAACCACCCTCCCAAGGACTCGATCTCGCACGGACAAATCCCGTATAATTGCGCAACTCTAATCGTAATCACTTAGCCACACCTGGGTTATCCATTTTGCGAACTCGTCGCTGGCACAATTTAATCAATTAATTTAATTAACTGTCATATGGCGTAAACGGATTTCATCAGGAAGTGCTCAATCGCTTTTCTCTTCCTGCAGAAATCCATCCGGCATGTAACCAGGTATTGCGATTGCAACGAGGACATGCAAACAAACGTTGCTAATACGAGATATTTTTCCGTTAAACGGAAATTTGCGAATTGTCGGAAATTCTAACAGGACTACGATCGCATAGGAGGAACCGCGCGTCGGTCCTCGTATTTCGATAACAATCGATCCGCATCGCGATGATATAGATCCTCCCAGATCCTCTGTATAGATCCCGCTGAATAACGAACGATCGTTCCGTCCTCTCCGGGGAAGCGAATCAATCCGCTTGCGAAACCGCGATTCAGAGTGCTGTTGAATCTGATGATGATCTCCATCGTCGCGTGGCATCGATGCAAACGATTCGTTTTTACTGAAATTGAAAGGCGCGAACAATTCATAGCCGCGCGATCGCGCGAATTCGAAACAATATCGAAAATTACAAATAACAAAATAATTATGTGACACTTCGTGTATACAAAATATATATATATATAAAATTATATAAAATTTTCACGCTTGATAAATTAAAATCAAATCATTCGTTTCATAAAAGAGATTTATGTATGATGATTGAGAAACTGACAAATGGTACTATTATTTATATTACTAACTAAAATAGTAATAATGTAGAATTTCTTACTATGGAAGTCATTTATAAAATACAAAGACATAAAGAATATATTTAATTTTTAGAATAAAGGTAATACTCTTCGTGAAAAGAATTCACATAAAATTTAAAAGTTGATAAGAAAATTTAAAAGAATATTTAAATTTCAACATCTCCAAATTCTGAACACGTGAACTTTTTCAATTATTCAGTTCGTTTGTAGGCTATGTATCGCTGGGAATTCGTGCGCGATTCAACGAAAAAGATTGTCTTGTCGTAGCTCGATTCAGTGAACGACGAAACTAGGCCGCGTACGTCAGAGAAAGCCGACGCAAATCCGAAAAAATTGCCTGTACTCAAAACTCATTCAATGGTCCTAGGCCGCAAACGAACGTTCTCAGCTTCATGCTGTATTTCAAGATGGCAAACAAAGCGAACATAATCTCGAAAAATTGTCTTAAACCCGCTGGCCAATCGTAAATCATCTTTCCTCCCGACTAACTTTGATCGTCAATTTACCTCCGAACGATTCAATTGATTTACTTTTCAACACGATTTCTTTTCGCTATATTTTAAGAAAGAAAAAGAACAAGAGGCTAATTATAAGAGAAGTTAAAATAATTTAGTTTTTTATAAGTAGGTACTCGAGAAGTTTTAAACTCGTAGACTACAAAACAGATATTTCCTTTTATTATTGGTTTAAAAATATAAAATAACCTTTACGTTAATAATTGAAAGTGCTACATGATATTAAAGTAATAAAGAATAAGAAAATTGTCACTCAACAAAATAAAGTTGCTTCAAATAAGCAAGTAAACTCCAATCACAAATTTTATTAAATCAATTATCATTTCTCAATCATCAAATAAAGTATTTTAATTTATTGAAACCGATATTCAAGGGTAGTAGTGTGAATCGCCGGAAGTGAATGCGAATAGATTCTGTAAGCAAAACTAGTGATGCGTGAATGATATACTTTGAATCGCAATGTATGTAATGTAGTGAGATTAAAGTGGTAAAAATAACGAAACTTAAGAATACATTTAAAACAGATCGATTTCGATTTCTAAATTTTATGCAGATATAATAAAACAAAAGCGACATTATTTCACGAAAAATAATACTAATTTACAAAAAAACCTCTTCAAATGGAATTTTCCAAAATAATATTATC